TACCAGGCCGAATATGCAATAGAGGCAATTGGAAATGCTGGAAGGCCATAGGCATACTGTCCAAAGACGGAGTTGTTTTGGTCGGCGAAAAAAGGTCACTTCCAAGCTTCTCCAGACCTCGACTTCCACAGAGAAGATGTACAAGATCGACGACCACCTGGCCTGTGCAGTCATTGGAATAATGTCAGACGCCAACATCCTCATCAACACAGCCAGGGTCCAGGCCCAGCGTTACACTTTGTCTTACCAAAAACCCATGCCTGTCGAACAGCTGATCCAGTCGCTCTGCGATACCAAACAGGGTTACACCTAGTTTGGTGGTCTCTCTCCGTTCGGGGTTTCCTTTTTGTTTGCGGGCTGGGATAAAAACTACGGCTTCCAATTGTATGAGTGATCCAAGTGGGAACTATGGGGGCTGGAAGGCGGCTGCGATTGGGGCAAACAACCAGGCAGCACAGTCGATGTTGAAGCAGGACTATAAGGATGAGATCACGAGGGAGGAGGCTGTTCAGCTTGCTCTTAAGGTGCATAGCAAGACGATGGATAGCACTAGTCTTACCTCTGAGAAGCTTGAGTTGTCTGAGGTTTTCCTTTGTAAAGGTAAGGTTAAGTACATGGTTCACTCACTGGAGTCGCTCGATAAGTTGCTGGTCTAAGTACATGGCTTGACCCAACCCACTCCTGAAACCTAATTAACGCTCTTCTTGCTTGCTTGCTGCGTGTGACTTCTTGAATCAGTTCCCTCTTTATTTATATTTCCAGACCAAACTTGTGTGTTTTTTAGAAGTAACTTCATAACTGCTGTTCGTTTACCATTGGCATCTTGCCTCATCATATGTGGGATTGTTGATTCAATCAGTATTGCTGCTTTATTTAATCGGACGGCTGCTCTGTAGTATATGCCAGATCATGAAGTTCAACGTCTCTGATGTTTTAGAACGATCACACATAATTCTGCAGGTGCTGCTTAAACTTATGGATAAAGGAAAATAAATAATGACATGAGAGTAACATAAATTGTGCTTCATAAATGATACAATCTGTGAGATCCATCCATATGTTCGAGTAAAATTCTTCAGTGAAATTCTTAAACACATAAGAAATTTACTTTCATCCAGATTCTCAACACTATTTTCTGCTTCAACATGTAATATACATTTTCTTTATGGTAATAAACAGAAAGCATCAGTTGTATACTTGTATTAATGACTTTGATGGCGGCAGTAATGAGTCACTCTACTTGGGGTCAGTGGCAGCGTCAGAGATTTTTTGAAGGGATTTAAGATTTATGGTGTATTTTCTCAAAATATAATAAAAACAATAAAAAATGTAATACATCAGCACAAATTAGTCATTACATTCTACTTGACTCATATCTATAATTTGGGTAAATCAATCGTAGGAGTTTTATTATGTTCAAAGTTTTGTATAGGAAAACGAGCTCATATGATTCTTGTATAACTAGCTCATCTACACATTCAAAACTCAAAAGGTTCTCATAGAAAATAACATTTTCTATACTAATATCATCAAAGTTTCTTTAGAATTATTTACACATTACACATCTACATTCTTCATGAAGTATCCACAAACTTCTATAATCTAATGAAAGGATCTAGATTACTCCACAATTCCTTAAAATGTTTTAGAGGTTTCCACACTCTTCTGCTCAGTTTTAGTAAGTTCCACACTTTTATATAAAATTTACCAATATTATTTTAGAACATTCAACACTTCTCTATTCAATCTATGAGAATTGTTGGTTAGTTTATAGCTTTAAGATGTAGGAACTTGTACATATATATGTATTCTGTAATAGATTGCTCCTTACTGGACTTGTAATATATATATATATATATATATATATATATATATATATATATATATATATATATATATATAGGGAGCGGATCAGGTGAGAAGTGTTTTTAGGCTGAGAAGTGCGAAGTAATTTAAAAAGTTGTAAAAGTTACGCATTTGGCTTTATAAGTTATGTTTAACGTATTAAATTTTTTTTAGGACATATATGTCTTGGTAAGTAAATAAATATCTTTTTGATAAATAATTTTTTTCTAAATATTTTTCAAGTACTACTAGTGTTTTTCATTGTAATTTCATACTTCCTCAATTTTTCACTATAAAATTATACTTTTGATTTAGAGTTGTTGAATTTATAAGTTATGAATTCTGTTATATAAGTTACCTTATTGTCTCTATTAGTTACACTTCGCACTTCTCAGTCTAAGACCCACTTCTCACGTGATCTTTTCCCTATATATATATATATAGATTTTGGTTCAGGTGAGAAATGCATCTAATGTGAGAAATGAGAATGAATCTCAGCCATTGGATTTACAAAGTTGCACTAAAATTGGCTTTATGTTACATTAATATTTAAATTTTGCACATGTTGCACTAAAACTGTTTCATGTTGCACTAATATTTGACGGCGTTGCACCGAAATAGCTTCATGTTGCACTAGACACGTGTAATACGGATTTTTCAGAAGTATTTACAGAAATGCCACCGTGCTAGATTGCATATTTCAGTGCATCATGAAGTGTCTTTAACTGCAACTTAGTCGAATCCAATGGCTGAGATTCATTCTTATTTCTCACCCAAAGAGTTCTTCTCACTTGAACCTTACCCTATATATATATATACATACATATATAGATATATATATAGATTTTGGATCATATAAAAACACCTCTTCCCATGAAAAATGAGAAGCAATCTCATCCCTTGGAATTCTTACATAAGTAAAACGATGGCCCTGATTGTAGGCATTGCGGATGGGGTATTATTGTCCGTCCCAATTACTTCCTTCCGTTTTATCTATGCTCCAGCTTGGTAAGTGCATTTATTTGGCAACTTGATTAATAACTTTCCGTTTTATTTGTAATTGATGTGTGATGCATTAGCTTCGTCATCTTCCATTCTCTTAGAGCATCTCCAATGCTACAATGTGCACGGTGCACATGTGGCATATGAGATAGCCACACAAATATTAGTAAATAAATTATCTCTCCTTATTGGAATGATTTATTATAATTTTGGTAAGTTATTCTCTGCAATGTCAAGAAACCGTCTAGATGTAAACATTGTGGTTGACATTGTTAAAAAAACTTCCAAAATTGTATAAACTCTTTCAAGTAAGGAAAGTGATAATTTATTTAATTATATTCATGTGGTTATATCTCATGCCCACATGTGCACCGTGCACATCGTAGCATTGGAGATGCTCTTATTCATTTTCATTTTTATTTATAATTGACGTGCAGTTACATGTGCTTTGACAAACTCAACAATCTCCCACTCACAAATACTTAACACATTTCTTTCACTTTTAATATTCTATTTTTACATTATATGTTCACCCTAAACTCTAATCAATATTTTAAACCTACTTGTGCACTGCCAAACTTTACAATGTCCACTTTTTACAATTCTCGGGATCCTCGCTATAGTACCACTTATGTATTAATCTACTCCACTCTATTAATTTAGTCACTGCTCTGCAATATTATGAGTATTAATATTTCCACTTTCCTAATAAGTTAATTTTTTTTTGAACCGGGACTCAACATCTTTCAGTAATTCAACAAGTCATTCGCCACGTGGCTTACAATACAATCCGGAATAGAATCATAACTGCTACTATGATCTGAGATAGTAACATGCGTTCTTGCTAGAGCATGAGCCGCATGATTCGCAGATCGCTTACAAAAAGAGATAACATAATTACTCTTTGTCTGAACTAAACAGCGTATATCATCAAGAATCAGATCGATGTATGCCGCACCCTCACTACTTTGGACCCTTCGAACTACTATTTGTGCATCAGTTTCTATTTCCACCCTATCCCATCCCTCTGAAATTCCTGCCAGGACAGCCTCCCGAAGACCCATTGCCTCCGATTCCGCCGGAGACCATTCCGCTTTGCATGAAGCCCCTCCTGCTTTCACAAAATCACCCTGATCATCCCTTGCAATCCAGCCCCAAGCTCGCACTCCTCGTGTAATGTCAACCGCTGCATCAACATTGATCTTTATTACTCCTGCGCTCGGCCGCTTCCACCTCTGGTCGTCCCTCCTTGCCTGGCTCGATGACCTTGCTGCAGACTGTTGAGCCTCCCTCCATGCTAACAACATACTCGAACAGCAACTAATAACACTAGCCGAGCTCTGCCACTTTCCTTCCCAGACTAGAGCATTACGACGCTTCCACAAGCCCCAAACCAACATAGCAACTTTACACCGCTTCTCCTTATCCGGTACAGAGAGTAAGTTTTGAAGCCATACCTCCAACGTGACTTCACCATTACCAGTAGCTATGCCCGCCTCCATCCACACTTCAGCCGCTCTCGGACAGGATCGCAGAGCATGCTCCGACGTTTCTTCACCCTGCAAGCAAATTTTGCAGCTATTCTGGATTGGTACTCCTTTTCGTACAAGATTCACCAGTGAAGGGAGAGATCCATCTAAAACCTGCCAAAGAAAATATTTAATTTTTGGTGGGATTTTTAACTCCCATAAATCTTTCCAGCCGTTCCATCCCCCACCTTCCCCTCCCTGCATAAGAACCCTATAGCAGCTCTTAACCGAGAAAATCCCATTATTCTCTTTACTCCACCAGAAGCCATCTTGTTTATCCTGCAAACTAATAGGAATACTTGAAATAATTTTTCTTTCTTCATTATTAAATATAGCTGCAATTCTTTCAGTATTCCACTTCTTCCCAGTACTATCTCTCAAGGCTGCGACATTCATATCAGCAATACCAGGCGGTTTGGCTGATTGGACCCTACCAACCCCGGGTCCAGGTAGCCAAGCATCCGCCCAAACATGAACCTCTCTCCCGTTCCCAACTCTCCTTCGAATGTTCTCCTTTAGTACTTCTTGGGTCTCAAAAATGCTTCTCCAGACATAGGACGGGTTATTACCCAACTTGGCCTTTAAAAACTCCGAATTAGGAAAATACCTTGCTTTAAGAACCCTCGCCATCAAGCTCTCCGGATTTGAAAGAAGCCTCCATCCTTGCTTTGCCAGCATGGCAATGTTAAATTCCCTCAATTTCCTGAACCCCAGGCCTCCCATACCTTTCGGCTTACACATGAGCTCCCACCTGCGCCACCTGATACCTCTCTGTTCAAACTTAGTGCCTTTCCACCAGAACCCATTCATAAGTTTTTCGATTTCATCACATAAATCTCGGGGTAACAGAAATACATTCATGGCATAAGTAGGCATAGCTTGCACCACATTCCGCAACAACACAGCCCTCCCTGCCCGAGATAAAAATCTATTATTCCAGCTTTTAATTCGATTAAAAATTCTCTCTCGAATGAAGCCAAGAATAGCTGATTTTCCTCTCCCAATAATACTCGGTAACCCCAGATATTTCTGATGCCCTCCCTCCTGCGGCACTCCAAAAAAAGTACAACAATAATTTTTAAAGGTGTCAATAACGTTCTGGCTGAATGTTACCGTAGACTTGGAAAAATTAATCGCCTGCCCAGAAGTTTCCTCATACTCTTGCAAAATCTCCTTAACAGCATTACATTCATGACCTGAAGCTTTAAAGAACAAAAAGCTATCATCAGCAAAAAATAAATGAGAAACACGTGGGGCCCCTCTACAGACCGCCACTCCGTGAATGTTTCCCCTCTGTTCCGCTTTTCTAATCAAAGCACTCAACCCCTCAGCAACAAGAATAAATAGATAGGGGGATAGGGGGTCCCCCTGGCGCAAGCCCCTACCCGGATAGACAGGCCCCAAAAAATCACCGTCAAACTGGATGTAATAGTTGACCGTCCTGACACACTCCATTACCATATGCACCCACCGGTCGCAAAATCCCATTTTAATCAAAATTCCTTCCAAAAAATCCCAGTCCACTCGATCATATGCCTTACTCATGTCAAGTTTAAGGGCAATAAAACCCTCCTTTCCAGTATTTTTCCTCCTCAAAAAATGTTGAGTCTCGAAGGCAACAATGATGTTATCAATAATAGATCGTCCTGGTATAAAAGCACTTTGGCTTTCCCCAACTAAAGAGCTCAAAATACCCTTAATCCTGTTAGCTAACACTTTAGAAAAAATTTTATAAACCACATTGCACAACGCAATTGGTCTCCAGTCGCCCATGTCCTCCGGTTTCTCTTTTTTAGGAATGAGAACAATATTCGTAATATTAATGTTATCCGCCAACTTACCTGTCTCAAACATAGTGGCACATAAAGCTGAAATCTCCGGGCCCACAATATCCCAATATGCCTGAAAGAAAGCTGGATTCATGCCATCTGACCCCGGCGCCTTCTCCGGGTGCATGTCAAAAATTGCCGCCTTAACTTCCTCTGGACTAATAGGCCTAGTCAACATATTATTTTGTTCATTCGTAACTTGAACAAAATCTCCACGAATATCTCTGGTGCTGGTTCTCCCCGGAGCCTGAAAAAGAGATAAAAAATAATCCAAGACAGATGCCCCCAGCTCACCCCTGTCCGTAATCCACGACCCATCCGCTTTCCGGATACCAGTCATTTTATTTCTCCTTCTTCTCTGTTTGACAGCATTATGGAAAAAACGAGAATTTATGTCCCCCTCTCGAAGCCAGAACTCTTTGGCTCGCTGCTTCCAAAAAAGATTTTCCTTCTCCAACAACACTTGTAGCGTAGCTCGGACTCTCAGAAATTCTAGAACACTAGCTCTATCCTCCTTCCCCCGCAACCATGCCAGCCTTTTTTTACACGCAATAATCTGCTGTCTAAACCCCCGCCTCCTTCCTCTGTCCCACCGTAACAATTCAGTCCCACAAAAAAATAATTTTTCATTAATAGTCATATGGGCAGCCGCCCCCCAGCTATTCGACACCACCACTCTACATTCTTCTTCATGAACCCAATTATTTTCAAACTTAAATCTCTTTTTTCTATTGTTTGGGTTTGAGATTTTAACCTTCATATGCAGGGCCATATGATCACTTGCCGGGGCTTCCACCGACATTGCTTGAGCCTCCTGGAACATATCCCACCATGCATCATTCACCAAAATACGATCGAGTTTTTCCTCCACCCAATGCGACGTGCCCTTGCCTCTATCCCAGGTCCATTGATAGCCCGAAAATGGGAAGTCTCGTAGGCCACATCCGTAAACAGCCTCTCGAAAGCCCCGTATTCTCCAGGGAGGGTGAGGAATACGACCCTTCTTTTCCGAGTCAAAAAGGATGTCATTGAAATCACCGATCATCAACCACGGATCATTATTTTCAGCTGCCAGTTCCTCCATCAAAGCCCATGCCTCTCTTCTCCGTCTAGTTTCCGGAAAGCCATAATATCCTGTTAGCCGCCATGGGATATTATTCGCCTTGAGAATAACTCTGCAATCAACAAAATTCTGGCCATTCCTCATTATCTCCACTTCAACATCATCACTCCAGCCGAGTAGTAGACCTCCACTCTGCCCTTCGCTATCCACCCCGAACGAATCAGGAAAACCTTGATGCCGTATTATGTTTTTTGCTCGTTGGCAGCGTACTTTGGTCTCCATTAGAAAAACAATTGATGGTCTGTTGGCATTTATCAAATCACTAAGGCATTGAATCGTGGCTGGGTTATCCAAACCCCTGCAATTCCAGCTTGTAATGCTCATTCTTCCTCAATAGCCACCAACACAATCTGCTCTACCAGACTCTTCGCCGGGCGTGCAACAATCCCAGGGGGAACGGCAAGAACAGGCCGAAAGCCACAGAGTCGAAATTGTCAACTAAAACCAGGCCCAGAGGAAAACAAACGATGCTCGAAGACCAAGGTCACCACCGAACAGATGTCCTAAACTCGCAGAAAACTCACCGGACGGGCGAATCGATCTCGCCGCCGGGACTACCTGCTAGGAGAACCCTAGAGACGACCGCCTATAAAAAGGAGTTTATCTGGTTAATTGGTGTTATTAATTGTTCCTAATAAGTTAATTAAATCGCCAATCTTCACTTTTAAAGGTTACATTTCCACTTATTCTATTTGTTTACATATTCACATCCTACGTATGCCTCTTTTTAGCTCTCCTTGCTCTATTTTGTCTATGTCGCTCTTCACTGCATCTAAAGTGGTCTTGCAAACATATACTCCCTCCGTCCCAAAAACAACTTCCCACTTTCCTTAAATGGATGTCCCAAAATTAACTTCACACTTCAATACTTTCCTTATTTGGCAAATTATCTACATCAAAAAAGTGATAAACAGTGCCAAACAATGTTTAAACAGTGCCAAACAGCGTTTAAACAGTGCAAAACAGTGCAATCTACAGTAAAACCAAATTTATTTTCTAAAAGTGGGTGAAAGTCAAACCGGGAGGTTGTTTTCGGGACGGAGGGAGTATTAATATATATATTCCCAGTTATTTCCCTTATCTACACTTCTTTCATCTAGTAATCCACTAATGGTGTTCCACAATCAACCTATGCATAACGTGTCTATTTTAACACTATGGATCTTACTATCCACCCGTAAACCATATTTATAGACAAGTGTTAACCACTGCACTTTCCTACTTTAGCTAGTGACAGTTACTTGGGGAGGGGAAAGAGGGACTATCGGTGCATTAATGATTAGAGCTTAACACGTTATTTTAAAATTAGTAAGAAAATCAAAAGACTATTTGACCCTCCGTAGTGCGCCTCTTCTTAATTTTGTAATCAAGGAAATTATCTGCTAACATTCGGTGCACCATAACACCGAAGCAAATTTTATGTTTACCGTACGATTGCTTCATATCTATGGCTACGATTCCTTCATATCAAATACAAACCCTTCTTAATTTACAAAGTACAAACTCATCTTGACCGTCCGATGAATTGATCCAAAGGACATAAAGGCAAGGTGGCATTTTTGTAATAAAATCCAACTTTTTTAGGGTGCAACTCATTGAACGTTATTGTGCAACTGCTATTTTATGGCTGAATAATATGCACTACTTTGAACCTCAATATGCAATACAAAGAACGTTAAGGTGCATCGTACAAATGTTTGCACAATAAGCACAGTTTGTACTTGATCTTTCCCCTATATATATATATATATATATATATATATATATATATATATATATATATATATAATTTGCCTTCCCTCTCTCAACAGAAACTCTTTCCTTCCTTTTTTATTATTTAATTTTAACGCTAACGTTTCTCAGTTCAACACCGGAATTTAAATTAAAGTTCACATTTCAGATTACTGTGTAATTGAAGTTGAATATCTATGATTTAAATTAGTATTATAATTAAGATTTACATATTTAAAAAGCACATATGAATGTATTGCAAAGATCACATAGATTAGATATTGAAAAAAGCTTGATTAGTCATTAGATAATGGATGATAACTTCATATTCGAAGGGAGCAGCAAGTATTTGTTACATCCATTTCAATTTATTTGTTCATTTCAATATTCATGTAATCATATGATTAAAATGTTATTCCCAAAATATGAATAGTTATTGTCTTGTTTGGAAAATTAGGTCAATTACGGCTATATTCTGGTGGAAAAAGTTTTTGTCCATCAATATTTTACCTTATCCGATATGTTTTTGTGGTTAAGTAATAGTTGTATTGGAGTTTCTTAATATGTACGGAGTATGTTTTAGTTTTTTTTGGATGAATGTATGTTTTAGTGATTAGTTTATTACTACTAAATTAAATATTAGAAGAGAAGAGATAATTATTATTTCCATTGACCCTCAGTCGTAAATGAGATAAGAAAATTGAGACGTATGTAAGTGGAGGACCTAAGGGGGGCTACGTGGGGCACGTGCCCCCGCTTCGAGCCCGAAATTTCACCAGTAGTACTTAGGATAAAAATGAGTGCCCCGGCTTCATACCAGTATTTGATAATTAAGATACTAAAATGTTACGGTTATATAAATAAAAAATTAATACAAAATATTTAAATTTTAGCTAAATTAAAATAAAAGATATAGAATTATCAAAAAAACAAAAATAATAATTAAGAATTGAAAACAAAAAGTAACAAAAAAAGTTAAAATGCAAAAAAATACCCAATGTGCGGGCAACTAAAACTACGGAGTATTAAAAGTCTAAAAACCCACTAACATTTGGAAGACTAGAATGATAAAAGCCGAACACAGAATTACTCACATGTTTAGCATGTCTGGATCCTAGAGATAAGTTCTCCAATTTCTGTGAGTCAAAGCTACTGAACCTTGCAGAGTTATATTAATGCGATTTTTCATTTGTTGATCGAATGAAGCTGAAAGAGCAACTCCAGGTGTGGATATATGAAATGAGAACAAATGAGTTATTTTCTGCCGTACAAACTATTGGTGAAGTTTGTAAGAAGATGGTTGAGCTTAAAGTTCACAATTCTTTTCACTTGGTATATCGTCTGATTGAGTTGACTTTAGTGTTACCAGTTGCTACGGCCACCATTGAAAGAGTCTTCTCTGCGATGAATATTATCAACACAGATATTCGCAATAAGATGGAAGATGACTATCTTACAGATTGCTTGGTGTGCTACATCGAGAGAGAGAGATGTTTTTAGAAGCATCGATAATGAAACTATTTTGCAACATTTTCAGAATATGAAAACTCGTAGGCTTGATTTACCAAAGTTGCAGCAATCAACTATTTAATATGTAATTAACTATTCGGTATAATTTAATACATTTTTTTCACCATTTTTATTACATTTGAAATTTTTATTATAGACTAACTTTAGTGTCTAGTGTGCCCCGCTCTCACAAATCTCTGGGTCCGCCACTGGTATGTAGTATATTGGATTCTTATTCTTTTTTAATACTACCAAAAGTCAAATAATAGAAAAAAATACTACCAAAAGTCAATCCATTATGCTACATTTGGAACTGTTTTAAAAAAAATTAGGCAGTTAGCAATCCATATATGTATGGCCTGGCAGGCCTGTGCTATGAATACTCTACAACCTTTTCTTTTTGCGCAAGGTTTGGAGCAGAAGACCAACATAACAAGCACAGAGATAAGGGAGGCGGGTAGAATAGGAAATTGGGTAAAAATTCAAACGCCAACACCCTAAACGCTAGCTTTGTTAGTTTTTTAGTTTTGGTTGTTTGAGATAAAAAGCCAAGTGAAAAAATCAATTAATCACACTTTTATTAGCTATTTATCTGGTCAAAAAACCAAATAATGGTCAAATCAGCCAAGAAATGACCGATAGAATCTTAACCAAGCACCCCCAATAATTTTAGGGATCACGAATGTATTCAACTTTACAATTTTAGTAACTATGCATAGTAACTGTGAAGTAATAGGAGTAATATTTTATCCACTAATTATATTTCAGTAATATTTAAGGAAAACATCGGAAATATTACATAACACACTTTATTCCATTATTCCGTATTTTCTTCCAAATTTTTTGTTACAAAGTTGCACCATATTCACATTCATTCTCACTAAAATTTTATTATTCGCAACGCTATTGATTATCACAAATACTCCCTCAATCCTAATATTATTTTCATTCTATTTCTTTTGATTAATCCCAAAATAAACTTCATTTTTGTGACAAAACTTTGTAATCCCTATTTTCTCTCAAATCTCCACAACTCCCAACCACATGTTATACACCCGTTTAATCTACATATAAAGTAATTAAAGTAAATATCGGAGTTAATATTGGGACGAAGCCACGAAGGCGGACCCTTTTTTTTTTTTGTAATCTTCTCCAAAAATTCATACTAAATTTCATTAT